GAAATTCAAAGACCAGTAAATATTTAAATATATAATATCAGGAAATCACCCTCTATGTAAAGTATTAGGTCCGCCCTGTATGTCGAAGAGAAGTAAGAAAAAAAATTTATAGACCAGTAAGGTTTCAGTCAATTACTCAAATTTCAAAAATTCAAATATTCAATATCAGGGAATCAACCTGTAAATCAAAATCATAACAAGGATTCATCTTGTATATTAAATCAAATGGAATCGAATTCAAAGTTATCAGGCAACGCCTGTAATATCAAAATCAGGTAAGGAATATGAAATCGGTTAAAAAAATTCAAGCAATTATTGCAAATTTTCTTGAGAAGTTAATTCAAGAAAAAAAATGTATATCTCATATGATAATTATTTAGAAATGAGACAAAGTCGTCACCTTGTACTCATCCAAATCAGAAACTCAAAAACTATGCTCATTTTTCAAGCCATTCAACAAAAAACAATATCTTTCAAAAAGAAATATCAATCAAAAGTATACCTTCTTCAGGCAATAATAATTTCCAATTTAGGAATTCAAAAACTAAAAATATGCTCCATCAAAGCAAAAGTATTTCCACTTGAGGAATTATATAATCAAGAGTAAATATGCTTTACTCAAGCAAAAATATTTCCATTTAAGGAATTCTCAAATCAAAAAAAAACATATGCATTACAGCAGTAATGAATTTCCATCTAAGAAAATATCTAATCAAAAGCAAAGTAGGTATCATATGCAATATTTCTATTTCATAAATTAGTATGAAAACCAAATTAATTTTTTTTTTTTGAGGAAAAAAACAACTTGATTGTTGTACAAATTTGCTAAGTGAATAATCAAACCTTTTTTTGGAAAAAGTTGATGCAATTTTGTTTTGTACTCAAAATCAAATCAAAAACTGAACAAAAATATCTCATCCTGATGAGAATAACAAAAGAATATTTTTTTGTGTTTTTTTTTTAGTTTTTTGTATATGGCCAGTCACCAATTTCAAGGGTGCATTTGAATGTCCAGCAAAAATAAGTCCAATTTGAATATTGAAAAAAATATGTCCAATTACAATGTTCTAGAAAACATGTCTAATACTTATGAATGTAAAAAAAAATTATTGAAGCTTTCAATCTTCCACTGAAATCTCTCTCCTTCATATTTTATAATAAGCTGAGAATAGCAAAGTTAGTATACTGTGTGTTGAGCAGATTACCACGTTGAAAAGGGCGCCAAATAGTGTAACGTAAAATTTTACCTTTTACACTGCACTTGGTAGCTTGTCGTCGGCGGCATATGGGCGTGGGTTGATACCTTTGCTAATCCTCAGATGTATTGATAGTAAATCTTTCAACTAGATAAAATGTGGAATTTATAAAAACATATATATATTTCTGTAATTTTATTTTGGACGCCACTGATTCTTTTAGAACATAGATAGAATGTTTAGGAAAAAATCAGAAACCTGTAGGTTGAGTTCAGAGAGAGATATCAGTAAAAACATGGAAACTTCAAAAATACATACAAATTTAATGATGAAAATGTTTTTCATGAAATACATTAGCAATATATTATTATATACATTCGTAGAATATTATGGATACTTTTCAATTCTTGATTTTATCAGATATTATATTTATAATATTTCATTGACATTTTGTTCAATTCCCTCTGAGTAAACCCATTTTGAAGAAGATTGTTATTGGACTATAATTGGCTATGATATTGATTAACCCTGAAAATTCATGAATTTTGGAGAGTCTTATTGCGCATTTTCCGCTATATAAAATGTTTCATGTCCGCTGCTAATGGTGTCAGAAATTCAAGTAGGGTTTGAACATATACTGTGTGTTGAAATTTGAAAAGTTATAACTCCATGATAATTCATATGTAAATATGTAAAAATTATGTAAAAATTATGTAAAAATTATGTAAAAATTATTTAAAATTAATAGTTAATGGACTGAATACTAGAAAAACCTGAGTTATCCAATATGCAGGTATCTGCTAGATGTCGACTGTTACTGGACGTGGAAGATGATCACAAGATGGCGACATTGAAGGGCAACTTCAAAATTGGTGTCTGGACGGATCACCACTGGCCAGGTTCGAGGAGACTCAGAAACCTGCGCCTACTGAAAAGATCCAATATGGTAGGGAAGAAAAAACCATGGCCTTCAGGACTTGCATGGGATTAAACGAAGGGCCCCCTGCTGTTGACATCACCCATACATCTAACGTTTTATACTCATTTAACAATAAGTCCTGGTAGCCAGCCTTACCTAAATCTTTATTTGCCTGTTCATATATCTCGCATACTAGCCCAGGTTCGATTGAGCAATAAGTACATAATCAAATTCAACTTCAAAGGCTACGCATACAAAATAAATCCTAACGAAATTTGTACAATATGTAATGACGCCTGCCCCGAAACAATCCTCCATATGTTATTTGAATGCCCAATTTATTCTTCAATGAGACCAACAAACCTTGATTTTTTCACCAGCCCTGAACTTTTCGTAGATGCGCTCAACAATATAACCCCTCCTACTTCAAAATCAATATTTCAGCACTTATGGAACATTTTGAAATTGAGGTCATTTATTGTGAACGAATGAAATCATTTCATTTACTTATGAACTTGTTTTCTGCATAAAGATTACTCAATGATTTATTGTATTCTGTTTTCATTTTTTTTTTTCTTTTCTCTGTAGTAATTAGGTATCAACATTTGGTATAGTTTATGTATATAGATATATATATATATATGTTATCAAACTCTTTGTTATTAAAACTGTAGTTTTTTAGAAACAAATAAATTGATTGATTGATTTGATTGATCACCCATACATGAGGTACTGATAAGCACGTGGATGTGCGGCATTCATCACTCCAACATAAAACCCTCTTTTGGATCGAGGGTTTTAACAAAAAAACTTGGATGAACATCGAGGAACAGAAACGTGGCGATGAAGGTTCGGTCGACATGAGGGTCATGTGATCGAAGTCGGGACGTCTGGGTCTCTTATACCGCATTTGGGCAACTCGGTTAGGCCCCGTAAAGGTGAGCAGAATAAAAAGTGCCAGCAAGTTCGCGTGCTGCTGCTGTTGCTGCGAGGACAACCACCTTGGGAGAAGAATCATGGCCAACTCAGAAAAGTCCTCGCCGGAAAGCGGAAACCGAAATCGATTCGACCTTGACATTGACACAGTCTTGTCCGTAATGACCTAATTTCACTTGATAGATCTAACGCACACCAGGAGATGGCGACAGCGAAAATGCCAAAATCCTCACATAGTTGAGTATGCTTTGAACAACGTCCGAATGCTAAAATCCATGCATAGTGGAGTCCCTTCCGAGCAAGGTCTGAACGAGGCATCGAAATTACGATATACATGCGTAGAACGACTAAATCACGGCAGAGGAATTCGCCAAATACGAAGGAAGAATAAGAGTAGAAATTGTCTGACGGTCAGTACAGTACGGTCACAAGGCCACGGTCACGACATAACCAAGCAGTGAAGAAGTAAACATTGGATATTGAATAACTCGCTGGGATATTCATGAAAAGCAATGAAAGGATATTTCAACCAATTTCCCACAACTATATCTAACTATACAATATTTACATATAAACACGGGAGGAGTATATCGTACGTATCTTTTGTTATTTCTTGTCTGATTTTCAGTGTTTGTGAATTCCTATGATTGTTGTTTTCTTTATTTTCAGAAAAACTATTGAAAATACAGAAATCTGATAATCATCATTGAATAGAAGACTACCTCAAGCAGATTCATAATATTGTATGGTCCACGTATCATGCAAAAAGATTCAGGTAGGATTTTCATTTGATGAAATATTTGTGTTGCTTTTCAATGTTGACATTCAGATTTATTTTATATTTAATTTGTTTCAGGATACCCATAACTCATGACACACAAGGAGAGGCAGCGTGGCATACAATGTGTTCAACTAGACACACCTCTCTGAACTATGTTACAAAATCTACAATAAAAGTGTCTGACTTCTATAGTGTTTCCTTTGAGAGTTTTATCTGGAATTATAGTAGAAGATCACGTAGAAAAGTATCGTTTTGATGTAGGCTAGTTATATCAGAAAATAAAAACGTTACAGGCCGTTGCGAGAGTCGACAGGGGTGTTGGGGTATATTTCGATTTAGATTTTCGATATTTTGTGCCGTTCTCGAGATATTTGAGGAAATATGAATATCGGGACTTGAAGAAAATTTTCAAAAATGATACTTTTCCAATTTTTTCTCCCAGTAAAGAGGTAATTTTGAGTAACAATGTAAAGAGACTTTTTCGTTGGTCGTCTTGATTTCCATCGAATTTCGGGCAAAAAACATTCACTTGTCACTCACTCCTTTCTTTCAATGAACTCAGAATTATTTCGCGTCATGACGTCGTACTAATTTTTTTTTCGTAATACATTGTTCGGATTTTCTCCATGTGGTAGGCCTTTGCGAAAGTCGACAAGGGTGTTGGGGTATATTTCGATTCAGATTTTCGATATTTTGTGCCGTTCTCGAGATAGTTCAGTTCGAGCCATGGCGGGTGAAGCACGTATCGAAAACCATTCTGATATCGCTGATCGAAAAAAGTGCAAAATAAAAATTGTTAATTTTGTCAAATGCGTTAATTGTGATTCTTTTTTCCATGCAAGCTGTGCGAAGAACATGAAATGCTAAATTATCGATAAAAGTTTTGTCAAATGCTGTGAAAAACATGCCGACAATTTGAGTACGGAGGATGATAGTGACAGTGCATTTTCTGATGTAATTGACAATATGAGTACGGATAACAAAATAGACATTAATATATTCGAATATATTATCAAACAGAAAGATTTGATAATCGCTGAATTAAATGACAAGTTGAAAATATTGAAAGAGTGTTTGGCTGCAACCACAAAAAATGAAGACACCTCAAAATACGGAGACACCATAAAAACGTCTGATTCAGCTGTGAAACAAAACCTTCGTATCTAAGAAACAGTGATTCCTGTTAAGAATACTTCACCAGTGGCGGCGGCATCGGGAAGTGTCTACGCAAATAAAATATCGCCTCGAGACGTTACTAAAGCCATTTCTGAAGCCGAAAGAAAATTGATATGCAGTAAATACACTAATATTGCAAACGACCCATCAACAAGCTTAGAAGCAGATAATGTGCAGAGCCAATGGACAAAAGTTGAACATAAGAGACCTAGGGAAAAACAAAGGGGAAATCTTTCAGTTGGTAACTTCTCTGGACGAGCATCAGTTGAAGGCATCGAAAAAAGCTTGGACCTCCACGTTTATAACCTGAAACCAAATACTACTGTAGAGGAATTGAAAAATTTTCTGGTGCCAACCTTTTCTGGATTGAAGTGTGAGCCCTTGCAACCCAGGTATCCCGATAGGTACTCCTCTTTTAAAGTATCCATTCCCAGAAACCAATCGGACCTCATGAAGGATCCAATTGTTTGGCCCAAAAATGCCTACGTTCGTTTTTTTTCACAACGAAGACAGACGAAAGAACCAGCGCCCTAAAAACAGGACCGCTGGTAGTCAATGACAATCAGGAAATGCATCTGAAGATTCTTCACTTGAATGCCCAAAGCCTCACAAACAAGATGAATAAATTCGACGTTCTTCTTAAGGAAGAAAACCCCGACATAGTTAGTGTAGTTGAACACTGGTGCAGTAAAGACAACATCGAATTCATGTCAACTCCCGGATATACGGCGTCATCTCATTTTTGTCGCACTAGCCATATCCATGGAGGTAGTGTAATATATGTAAGAAACAGCTGGAAGGTGCAAGTCCTCGATCTATCCCAGTTTTCTGAAGAGATGATCTGTGAATGTAGTGGAGTGAAGTTCAAATTGAATGGTAAAAGTGTCTGTATCCTAAGTGTCTACCGACCACCGGATAACAACAGTTTTCAATCATTTCTTAGGAAATTATATTCTCTCTTGGAACATGTGAGTGTACATGATAATGTATTTCTCTGTGGTGACCTCAACGTCAACTATCTCGTTGACAATGCCCATAAACAATCGTTGTTTGACCTACTATCTGGATATAATCTGAATGTGAGTTCTACATCGCCTACAAGAGTGTTCACCAATAGAAATGACGTCACTTCGTCAACCAAAGTTGATTATATCTTGAATAATATTGACCCTACAAATCTTAGATCAAAAGTTTATGAGGCTAATTTCAGCGATCACCTAGTAATGACTTTAATTTATCGGTACCATCTTAGCGAGTCAAACAGCTGCAACACTGAATCAAATAGACTATACAGGAATCTATCCAAAAAAAATTAAGATGAATTTTCCTCCCAAATACGCGACGCTGACTTCAGCGACATTTATCTCGTGAATGATATTGACTCTGCTTTCGGATCTTTTGTTAATATATTCATATTTTTTCTGGATAACTGCTGCCCACTGAAACGAAGCAATAGTATGCATTCCCGGAAATCACCCAACTGGGTCACAACCAACATCAGGAAAGCAAGTCGAGAGCTGAAAAACTTATTTTGGCTGTGGAAGAATGTTGGAAATAATGACTGCATGGAAAATTACAAACATGCCAAACATAACTATAATGAACTGCTCACAGAGGCGAAACGCAATTTTAATGAAAAACTGATGTGGAACTCAGTAAATCAAGATCTTGGTAGGATTGAGAAACATAAAAATATACATTTGGAAGTGGAAGGTGAAGTATATACAGATCCAACTGATGTAGCGAATATTTTTGGAGATTACTTTGCTAACATTACAGAAGACAGCTTAAAAAGTCACTTTGGGGAATCAATGTCACAATCTTGTACAGTTTCTCAAATGGTTGCTGACACATTCTTCTTCAACCCGGTTACCGCAAAGGAAGTCATTATAGTCATTGAAGGCTCAAAAAATAAAAATAGTACTGGTGTCGATCACATTTCATCAAAACTTCTGAAACATTTTTCTAGCACCATAGCAGGACATCTGGCATATCTAATCAATTTCTCAATGACTTCTGGTGAATTTCCCTCCATGTTGAAATTGGCAACTGTCATTCCAGTTCATAAAAAAGATGACCCTGAGAACATAGCTACCTATCGATCAATTTCCATATTGAGTGTGTTGTCGAAAGTTGTTGAGAAGATAGTCTACAGTAGAATGTACATTTTCTTAACCAAATTTAATACACTCTCCGACTGCCAACACGGTTTCCGAACAGGAAAATCAACCCAATCGGCAGCATGTAGCCTAATCGAAAATATATATACCAATCTTGATAGTGGTAAACATGTTGCCGGACTCTTCTTTGATTTGTCCCGCGCTTTTGACTCCATTAACCTGGACTTTATTGAAAATAAGTTGTATAACTTGGGATTTAGAGGAGTCTTTTTAGATTGGGTGTGCGATTATCTCCACAATAGACAAATAAGCGTTAAAGTGGAAAATAATCTATCTAGCAAACATCCTCTGAGCATAGGTGTTCCGCAGGGTTCGGTACTGGGACCGTTGATATTTTTATTGTTTCTCAATGACATGCCCCAACATATTAATACTGAACTGTCAGCTTTATTTGCGGACGATACTTCACTAGTCGAAATCACGAGGAATTAGTTTTGTCCACTAAACAAATAATGGAATATTTCAATAATTGGTGTGCACAAAATTGCCTGATTTCAAACGTTTCCAAGACTGAATGTATATATTTCACTTTACAAACTAACTCGAATATCCTACAATTTGATTTTGATGGTACAAGTATTGAGTCCACTGAAAGTACTGAATTTTTAGGTATATATGTAGATCAAAACTTACGTTTCACCGATCATGTAGACATGCTTAGTAAAAAACTGAATAAATCAAGATTTGCAATATCGCGCACTAGGTCCTCAATGCCTATTGAATCTTTGTTGACGGTCTATTATAGTCTTGTTTAGAGTCATATGTCTTATAACGTAGTTCTGTGGGGAAATTCTGTAAACAGTGAAAGAATCTTCACCACACAGAAAAGAATAATCCGTACTATGTTGAACTTACCCCCAAGAGAGTCCTGTAGGCCCCACTTCATTTTTCACAAAATACTAACCTCTCCATGCTAATATATTTTTAAATGCTTATTGTATATTGAAGATAACTTCTCCAAATTTTAAACGAACTCACATTACCATAACTACCCTACTAGAAATGGTAATCTTGTGTATATCCCGGAATATGGAACATTGAAATTTGAAAGATCTCCCACTTACCAGGGGATTATATTATTCAACCACTTGCCTGAAACGTTTAGAGAGATGAACAAAAATATGTTTAAAAACAGAGTGATGTTTTTATTAAGCTCCAAAGGCTATTATAGCATTGGAAAATTTCTGTCAGACTGCGATGTAGAGTCTATTTGACGACGTACAGCTGACTTTCACATTTTTTGTACTTTTTATATCATATTTTATGTCACTATTTGTAACTGATGATTTGTTTTTTTGTATGTATGTTCTATACAACCCGACTTGTCCTATACATTCTGTGGATGTCTAAATGGATCAATAAAATATTCATTCATTTATTTATTTTTTTTTATTTTTTTATTTGAGAAAATATGAATATCGGGACTTTGAAAAATTTCATCACAAATATTACTTTTCAGATTTTTTTTCCCAGTGAAGAGGCAATTTTGAGTGACAATGTATGAAGACTTTTTCGTTGGTCGTCTTGATCTCTATCGAATTTCAGGCGAAAAACATACACTTGTTACTCACTCCTTCTTTTCAATGAACTCAGAATCATTTCGCGTTATGACGTCGTACTGATTTTTTTGTTTTTCGTGATACATTGTTCGGACTTTCTCCATGTGGTAGGCCTTTGCGAAGGTCGACAAGGGTGTTGGGGTATATTTCGATTTAGATTTCCGAAATTTTGTGCCTTTCTCGAGATATTTGAGAAATTATGAATATCGGAACTGAAAAATTTCATCAAAAATAATACTTTTCCGATTTTTTTTTCCAGTAAAGAGGCAGTTTTGAGTATCAATTCATGAAGACTTTTTTGGTGATTGTCTGGATTTCTATCGAATTTTGGGCGAAATTCATACACTTGTCACCCACCTTTTTCTATTCTATGAATTTGAAATTATTCCGCGTCATGACGTCGTACTAATTCATTTGTTTTTCGTGATAAGGTGTTCGGACTCTCTCAATGTGGTAGACCTTTGCGAAAGTCGACAAGAAAGTTGGGGTATTTTTCGATTTAGATTCTCGATATTTTGTGCCGTTCTCGGGATATTTAAGAAAATATGAATATCGGGACTTGGAAAAATCTCATCAAAAATATTACTCCTCCAATTTTTTTCCTAGTAAAGAGGCAAGTCTGAGTAAAAATGTATAAAGAATTTTTCGTTGATCGTCTTGATTTCTACCGAATTTTGGGCAAAAAACATACAATTGTCACTCACCTTTTTTTTTTCAATGAACCTAGAAATGTTTCGCGTCATGACGACGTACAATTTTTTTTGTTTTTCGTGATATAATGTTCAGACTTTCTCCATGTGGTAGGTCGTTGCGAAAGTCGACAGGAGTGTTGGAGTATTTTTCGATTCAGATTTTCGATATTTTGTGCCGTTCTCGAGATATTTGAGAGAATATCAATATCGGGACTTGAAGAAATTTCATCAGAAATAATAATTTTCCAATTTTTCTCTTCTAGTAAAGAGGCAATTTTGAGTAACAATGTATAGAGAATTTTTCGTTGATCGTCTTGATTTCAATCGAATTCCTGGCAAAAAACATACACTTGTCACTCACTTTTTTTCTTCAATGAATTCAGAATTATTCCGTGTCATGACGTCGTACTAATTTTTTTGTTTTTCGTGGTATAATGTTCGGACTTTCTCCATAAGGTAGGCCGTTGCGAAAGTCGATAAAGGTGTTGGGGTATTTTTTGAGTTATATTTTCGATATTCATTGCCGTTCTCGAGATATTTGAGGGAATATGAATATCGGGACTCGAAAAAATTTCATAAAAAATAATACTTTTCCAATTTTTTTCTCCCAGTAATGGAGCAATTCTGAGTAACAATGTTTAGAGACTTTTTTGTTGGTCGTCTTCATTTCTATCGAATTTCGGGCGGAAAACATACACTTGTCACTCACTTTTTCTTTCAATGAACTTAGAATTATTCCGCGTCATGACGTCGTACTAATTTTTTTGATTTTCGTTATACGGTGTTTGGAATCTCTCCATGTGGTAGGCCTTTGCGAATGTCGACAAGAATGTTGGGGTAGTTTTTGATTTAGATTCTCGATATTTTGTGCCGTTCTCGAGATATTTGAGACAATATGAATATCGGGACTTTGAAAAATTTCATCAAAAATAATACTTCACCAATTTTTTTCTTCCAGTGAAGAGGCAACTCT